GCCTGCCGTGGATGATGTGCAGAGCTCTCCGTATAGTGTGTGTGTGTCTCTCTCTGCATCGATCTGCCAGTCTGCACTGAACACAGACACCCCCCTTATCTCCACCTCCCCCCAGTGATCGGTGTCTGTGCCTCTTCCTATTGCAGCACTCCCTCTATATAACTGTCTCGCTAGCATTTGCCCATCTCTGCTTAGTTTCTGTTTGGTGCGATTTACTTGTGTATGGCTGGCTGTGGAGCACCCTGCCTGCATCACTTGGTGCCCACCCCCACTCTCCATCACTGCTCCTGCCTGGATTTATCTCCTTCATGCACTTGGGTTCCCCTAATTCAAGAACACTGAGCCCAGATGATCAGAACCCTGTGCCCTCTATACTCTTTCTCTGCCCTGCTTGTCTTTCTGTAAACAACTCTGTGTAAGCAAGTTTCTGCTCATCTGCATCGCTGCCCCCCTCCCCACCAGTTAAACTGTTGCTTTTGTTGTCCCTGTGTTGTCCCTGGGTAGAAGGGTACAGAGGGATCATGTGGCTCCAGGCCCCCTGTTAACCCCACAGCACCATTTGGGCTATTATCGGTGGAGTTTGTGTCCAGCATCAACAAGAGGTCTTCTGCTGGCCTGGGTGACATCCTAGGAAAACATGGACGCTGGCAAAATGGTGAGTACGTTTGACCCAAAACAGATTTGTCTTGCTGGGGGGTGGGGTCTTCTTTTTGGATCAGTGCTTTGCAACTTTTTAAAATTTTGTTTACCCCTTAAATTTAGACCAAATATTTTATAGGTCACCTTTCCACAAGTCACATTTTATCTACTCTGTCCCCAAAAGTATCAACATTTAATGACAGCCCAGCTGTGTACATGGTTCTACTTTATCTGTTAGTTCATTCATATAGTGGCAGCAGATTCCAAAGTGTATTAGAGACCATAGAATCATTCACATCAGTCCTAGCCCCAAAAGAGCCTACAATCTGATGGTACTTACACCAACCAGCAAAGAGACTGTTATTTAAACATCTAGAGCTACATGTTTGAGTGTTTTATTTATAAATATACATAACACAAAATATATTATCTAAAATATTAAAACAACTAGATCTAAATGTTTGAGTTTTTGTATCTTTATCCTTAAATATAGAGAATATATTATCTAAAATATTTAAACAACAAATGTTTGAGTTTTTATTTATCTATAAATATACAAAATATATTATTTCAAATATTTAAACAACTAGATGTACATGTTTGAGTTTTTGTTTAGCTATAAATATACAAATTATATTATGTAAAATATTCAAACAACTAGATCTGCATGTTTGAGTTTTTGTATCTTATTTTTTTTTTTCACTAAAATATTTAAACAACAGGCTGATGTTTCCCCTGAAGCCCCCAAAAGTATCTCAAATGGCTCAGCTATATTGTTGTACCCAGTTGGTACTATGAGATTAACCTCTTGCTGACAGTTGCTTATTTGGAGCATTGTTTTCAGTCTGCTGCAGATGAGGAATTTGGCAACAAGTGGTTAACATGCTACCAAGTTATAAAATGTTACATGTGTGTAGCAGAGCTGGAAGCGAAAATGTGTTCTGGGAAATGTGAGGATCGTGACTGGTCCATACAAAAACCTGAATTAGGAAAATGTTTTTTGTACATTACCCTCACAACTGCCATTGATTTTAGTATGGGAACAGATCATTTGATATTAGAATGTGAAATTCATGCAGCCTTCTCTACAGTTGTAATTCAGGGGGTAACCAGATAAATATCCCAGCCTGGAGTTATTGTATGTGATTACTATATGAAGTTATACACTTCCCCTGTGTGTAGGAAACCATGTTCACGTATTGCAAGCAGTATATATCCACATAAATTCTTTTTTTGGGGATTTATGCTTTAAATGTTTCTCTAACTTCACTCCTTTGCACAATTTACAATAACAATGCAGTGCACATTTGATCTGATAGTGTGTCGTGTATATATATATATATATA